TATATATATATAAAAAATTAATTCAACAGTTGGCATCATTTTCACAAGCCAGTCTGCTGTTCCAGTTTCCAGAGTATTACAGCTGCTTGGACAATACCATATTAACAGCTGTCTATGAATGGCAGAATATAAAATCTCAAATAAGACATTAAGGACACTACACATGCCATTAATATATATGCTTAGAGAAGTCTGCTGATCGATAGAAAAATATTTGTACTGGGGCAGAAAAGTGACCTATCAGGAGAGAAGCAAGCCGTACTGCCAAAATTGAAGATGTTTAACTACTACTGTTTTTGAGCTTTTACTGACAGTTAATGGTCATAGCCCTGCTTTCTCCCCACGCATGCTGGACACAGCTATATCTGCAAAAGGCTGTAGATAAGCCTGGTTTCAGTCTATAATTGTCATAGCATTGCATCTCTTCAGAAGGTGGCATTTGAGATTTACAGCTACAACGGTATAGCAAAATATTGTTAGAGGTAGAAGATGAGACCACAGCCAGTTAAAATGGATACGCTAAAAGTGAGGGAATATTCCATCCTTAGGTAAGGAAGTGCATAGTCTGCAATTCAGGTGGGATTAGATTCCAGAGTAGGAGTTTAAACTTAGGTTTAAAGTCTGCATAGGAACTATGTGTCAAAGCTCCCATGGAGCTCTGGGGACCATTAATTTAACTGCACCCTTCCAGATCCCCTGCGAAGCACATTCAGGTCTCAGCTGGCACAAAGAATGGCAATGTCTCACAAATCTTCATTTTTGCCAGCCCAGTGTGGCTATCTTGCATGCCCCACCAACACTTCCAATGGCATGAAGTGTCTATGCATAGGCAAGGGTATCCCACTCCCTGTTGATGCACTCAGTGACATTTAGGGTACAACTCTGATCACGGGCAGGTGTCTACTTCACAGGTGAAGTGAACAACTCTCCAGGATCCATTGACTCCATTTGCTGGAAGAGGAGCAAAAGCACCTTGTTCACCTATAAGTAGATTCTTAAAGTAGGTGAATTTTTCTGAAGCTCAACCCTACGTGCAGAGTTTGAGTCAGTTGTCTATATACAGACATGAAATGCCATTTTAGAAAAATATAACATGAAGGTCAGTAAATATGACACTGGACCGACCATGGATGTGTGCCTTTCTGAGCAACAGCTGGAGGCCATGTAAATTACCCTAAGGTGTCTAAAAGGGTTTCAAGCACTTTTCTTTGTATGAGCAAATGAACTACGCCCTTTTAACAGCATTTTAAGAATTCTACAAGAATTAATCATATTTTTAAAATAATATGGCTTTTTATTAGTATTGCCATAGCTTATGGAAGCTTCAAGAAAATGTTAAACTTGCTCACAACAACTTAGAATATTGGCACTTTGTTACATCAAGACAGCTAAGTAAATTCAATCATCTACTTCAATCAGTCTTTTTAAGCAACTTTTCATCTTCTGGTGCTTTCCTCTAACAATGGACCCTTTTGCCCAAAAACTAGTCTTATAAAGTAGGTCTTTTACATGTCTCAGCTTCTACTTAAGTTAATGGTACTCAAGAAAGCACATGGCTGCTATGTGGCTAAATGTCATATTTAGGTTTCTCGACTGAAAAAAAATGTTAAAATTTTATTCTATTTTTTCATTAAAACATTCCTATTAAAAAATAAATATCTAGGTACCATTTGTCCCTTAATTTTTACGAACAGTTAAATTAATATCAGTGTGTTCCTTTTAGAAGTTATTTATCCTTGTTGCAAGAATTTTCTCCTTGAAAATGTAAATACTATGTAAATACTAATTGAAAGCAATGTCTCAGTAATTATATTGTATCTTTCAACTAAAGGTAAAATAATTTCAAAATTTTAATCATGGACCTCTACGAGTTAAATAAATGTCGCATCATTATGAAGAAAGCTAAACTGAAATATGAACACTGACACTGGTATTTTACTGAAAGTCAAAAACTTAAATCCACATGTGGACAACATCTGAACAAATGGTCGGGGCTTTTGCATCTGCTGCTCCCTAGAGCAGACTGTGAAATATATTTGACCACTTAAGTAGCACCTCAGGTCATGGACCAGAATCCCTTCATGGTAGGTACCGTACAAACACTGAGTAGAAAAACAGCTCTGAACCTAAGCAACAAATAGGAACTACGTGCACAAAGTCTGGAGAGGCTGTAGTAAGGGTAAGGCTTTTGAGTTAAGCTATAAAGGGTTGTCAGATAAAGAATCAAAGGGGATAGTTACAGGCAAGAGAAGGAAGAAGTACACTTTTCACCTCTACATCTAGAACTGACTACAAAACAAGATCATCTTGGTTTAGCTAACTAAAAGGTACAGAAGTTCAACTGAGGTCTGCCTGGAGAAGGGTGACAAATTAGGCACCTTGGCTTGACATATTTGAAGTAATAGAATTTATATTAGTGACTATATAAGAAGAAATTTGCTCTGGCATTATAGTCATGTTCAGGCTGAGATTCCCACCCAAAGCTCCAAGAACACTATTGCTTCCTCATAAGCTAATATCTAAAATGGCAGCAAGATTTATCCCTAATAGACTGGCCACTTTCTCTTCCTTAATCTCTTAAAAGCGATGAAAAGTGTCATCACTGAAGTTCTCTTATTTTTGCTAAGTTTATGAAAAATTAGGCTTTGCATTTCTTTTGTCAAATATCTGTATTTCGTTAGTTTTAATTAATCTGCTGTATTCTACTTTTATTGTTTTGAGTGAACATTTTCATTATCAAATGAAAAGAAATACTTTGTTTTTATGGAACTGGTTCCTTAAGTTCTTTAGTTCCATGCTCTGATGTTTGGGAACCAACAATGTGTTTGACATCTCTGAAAACCAGGGGGATTCAGGTGTGTATTACAAAGTTCATCCTAAGGTAATTTGTCCAGAGTCACTCAATAAAGCAGTAGCAGATTTACAGTTATTTGTCACGCACACGTTTTTCCCTAAAAATTTCTGTGTATTACAGATTCAGATTCAGGTCTCTACCTGCAAGGACTTGCATCAAAAAAATTGTGTGTCTTCATTTCTAGTTATCTACAAACATACATAGGAAGATTAATTTTCAAAGTAACAACAAAATTCAAAAAGAACAGAGAAATGCCATGACAAAAAGCTGTATTTCAAATCTTGCTAATCTAACTTAAATAATAAGTGTAAGTGAAAAATATAAGCCATAATTACTCACCTACGATGAGTAAGAAAACTACCACTGACATGTCCTGAGCCATCACATCCTGGGGTTGGACATGACATTCCTTCCGTCTTCACTGACTTCCAAGAGAACTGTGAGCCATTTAGGTATCCATCCTTTTGCCTTTTGGCAGCTAGAGGACACCCTGATGCACTGCGATGGGATGCATATTTTCCAGTTATATGACCCTGACCATCACAACCAGGAACTGGACATCTGGATAGCAGATAGATGAGATAAACTTTATTGTCTTGCCATCATATACCTGGTAGCCTCTACAACAAAGTCAAAATAAACCCGACATGAAAAGAAAAGAACAATCATGCACTGTGGTCTTAAAAATAGTCAAGATACCCTGTAGTGGGTAAAATTTCAAGCAGAACTTTACTAATATGAAAAAAAAAAGTGTTCTTTGATAAACTGTAAGGCTAGCTAGTAGATGAAGTCACAGATGTTCATATTGTGCAACTGCAACAAAAGGACTGAGATATATATTTGAATTGCAGGTGTTCATTACAGTAAATATCACACTGGAATTGAAATGTTGGCTACTGAGCTCCACTCAGCAGGGAAATTGCCCATAAAAACTCTATAAGCATAAAATCCTACTTAGTATAATCCTTGGTACATTTTATTTATGTGTATGGAATTTAAACAAGACTTGTCTGAAGTCATGAAAATGTTAGGTATAAACAGTTAGGTATAAAGTGATCATAGCGCCTCCTCAGAAATGCTGAGCACCTTTAACCACTCTCTGAATAGGAGAGATTATAACAAACTATGCGCTACAGCCTAGAGAGATCAATGAAGGCAGTTCTGTATTCATCTGATGTTTTTCCTTACTTGGGAATTCCCCCATACATTTGCCCTGTATATTTCCAAAAAACAAATAACCAGGGTTAGAAGGAACAGGTTAGAATCTTCAAAGTGAAATGAAAGAAAATAATGGTTTTTTAGTATGCTGCTACATAACACATGTCAAAACAAGGTTGGTTACTTCACTGTTTGTCCCACACTAAAATATTGCTGCAGCTCTCCACTGAGGATCCAGTTCTGCACGGTCTAAGCAGTCACTAAACCAGCTGAGTTCAGTGGCCACAGGTATCAGAGCACCTTGCAAGAAGAAACCACGACCTACACAGGTAGGCATTTGTTCCTCTTGTAAACTGCATAAACAGTCAGATTTGTTGCAGCAATCTCATATAAATACTTAGTTCTCTATTCCTGCAACTACTTTATTTAGCATGTATGGTTTGTCTATGGTATGCAAACACGTTTAAGGTTTTCTTCAGGAGATAAATATCTATGCAATGTTTTAATTTCATGTGAAAAAACCCATATTTTAAACTGTTTCTAAATTGTAGAAGATTGTATCCTTGGCTAGAATAAATCATCACAGATCCTTGATTTGCAGTTCACTCATAGAAATCAATGTGGCCTTCTGCTCTTGGATAACTATCACACAATAATATTTAAGCTTTAATAAAAAGCTGAAGAAATGTATGATGTTATAAAATACATGAAGGCCTTTTGACAATATTTGTTCTCACCTAATTGGCTCTTGGTCTTCTTTGTCTTCCTTGCTTTGTGCTATCCTGATTCCACTTTTCTTTGCTCGCGGACAGCCTGAAAGACTGAGTGAGAGAAAACATTTTAAAATGCAGTTTGTCATTCTTGGGTATAGTTTACAAGAGATACATTTTCTATCTGAAAAACTGGCAGAATAGGTAATTCCATCCAGTTTCCAAAATCAAAGCTCAAGTGGTTTAAGCAAGGAGAGCTGTAGTATGCAACCGCGAGGGGGAATCCGCGTATCTCAGTTTGCGACGGCGGGAAGGACTGCAGGCACTGTGCAGACCACACGCACAGGCAGTCCCCGAGGAGCCAGGGAAAGCAGCTCTTAAACCCTCTGCCTAATAATCCCTCCAGCTGACTCAGCAGCAGCAGCAGCAGCAGCGACAGCTTTAAAAGAAATAGAAGGCAGTGTTTCAGGGCTGAGAGACATTCCGTCCTCTGTATGTCTGAGAGGGAAGGAAGAGTAGGCTCAAAACCCAGGAGCCTTTGGATCTCTTGGTAGGAATAAAGATTTCTCTAGGGAGCGCATCAGAAACACTATCAAACCTTCTCAGTCGTCATGTAAAAATCCTATAGAACTGTTGAATAAAAACATGGCAGAGCTCAGAGCTGTACAATGCCTTCCTGAGAAAGAGTTTAAGTGCTCAGAACTCACCCAGACAAAAAGATTTGGTAGAGACAAATCTATATGTTAGGCTAAGCAATGTTACATTTAACTGGACACCTAGGATGTTGGTTTCAACCACATAAGATGGAAAAAGATATATCTTTTCCAAGATTTTACAAGCTCAGCTTTCCCTTTGCGTATGAAAAATTCATTATAGAAACCATTTAGCAGGCTTGACAATGACTTTAATAGATATTTAAAGATTTTTTTAAGTAGTTGCTATCTAAGGACACAAATATGTCTATCAAAAAATCATGCTTTGTCCTGCATATAAATGTTATTTCCATCTTAACATATCATATTAAAAAAGAAATCCATCAGTAGAACACCTTCAAAAGTATTGCAATAAGAGACAAAGTAGTGTTACCAAAGAAAAATTTCTGCAGAGAAAGAAACTAAATAGAAGATTAAATTTTTGTTTTCAGCATAACAAAAGATACTTCAGTGTTGTATAGGAGACCCTGTCTGCAGAAAGAAGAGATAGAATCAGTGGTAGCAAAATTTTCAGTTATTTTGTCTTGTCAAGACCAGCGAGAACTGGGAGGAACAAGCGGAGAAAAGAGTGATGCAATCACAGACAGAATTCCGTGTTGGTAAATAACAATAGACAAAAATAGAGGTTACATGCTGTAAAGTCATAAATAAGTCAATTTAAAAAAGGGACGAATGTTAGCACAAGATATTGGACATAGTGTGTGGTGAGATGGCATGGCTACCCCTGTAGCGGTAAACAGAAGGGATCTAGAACTGCTGTCTTGAGCCAAGACCAGCAAGCTCACATCCATGCAGCTAAACTCTCTGTCTCTGTAAAGCAGGACAGCTACACCCATATTGCTTATAGAGAACGATCTGGACCCATGCTGAGCCCCAAATCATGTCTGAGAATTGCCTGGGAGAGTTTCAGTGCCCCAGGGTCAGTACCATGCCAGGGGACAGGCTAACAATTTACTAGTGTAGGCATCTGCACTCTGATGGCTGGATCTGTGCTCTCATCCCATTTCATTTTCTAGTTTAAATACAGCTGACAGTCTTCCTTTTTAAAGCAAGCTGCTGTTTGTTCCAACTTACATAGTGCGCACCAAAGCATCATAGTTCACTGTGTACAAACTAAACCTTAGAAAGCCTGTGCCACTTAAAAACAGTTTTCTTTGAAAATAATAATAATATCATAATCTTTAATAAGGCAGAGGCAGGAGAAACAGGGTCTGAGGGATTTAGGATAAAAGGAAGCAGGCTCTGGGGCAAGCGGGCAGTTTGGAAACAGGTTGGTTCATTCCCCCCATCCAACGTGAACTGCAGAAAGTGAAGGGGAGAGGACACGAGTTACAGATATCCCTAGCCTATCTGTGAGACTAGTTGTACCCACTGTGTGAGAATAATCAGGTTTTGCATCCGAAAACTAAATAGTTAATAGAAATGCCTCAGAAAGCAATACTTTTTTTAGTAGGTGTACAGATGGGTATGCTTGTAGACGATGACATTTTCCTAACAAAATCTGAATGAAGAATGTGTGCCTTGACTAATGATTTAATGCTTTCTACATATTAAATCAATTTAATTATCACCTACTTATTGGTATTTTGGTGCATCATCTTTTTGCAATAGATCTTTCTATTCTGGCACTATGATTTATTAGAAAATTCTAAGACCTTTCAGGTCCTCTAAACAGACATTTCCAACAGACAGCTTCTGAGGTTATGATTAATTCATTTCTCCTCTGACAGCAGATTCACCAAGAAAACATATGTCAAGGATGAGCCTTTGCTTTAATTTTTTTGATCCTATAATAACCAAAAGCTATTACAAAGTAAACATATTACTTCGTTTTTATATCAGTTTAATTCCTTATATATGAAGATAAAAGACACGAAGGGAAATTCCACACCGGTAAATACGATGTAACTTCTTGCATACATTGAATGGGTGTGTGGAGCTACGGCGACTTATGGCAGAGTTAAATCTGCCTTCATGCGCGCTTGCTGTTGAGCAGCCATTTTAAATACAAATGATACTGAGACATCTCAGCAGCCATTTAGGAGAGAAGCTTGCCATTCCTTTCCTTCTGAAACTGAAAAGGTTGTAAGGGATAGTATGAGATACAAACAAAAATGTGACGCTTGGCCTTCTGCATCTTCACTGTCCTGCCTGGTTCTGGTTAAATATATGGCCAAATACATAAACAACTTCCTGAAATAGCAAAGTCGGGGCATAGCTCCACCAAGCATATTGTTAGTAGAGGTGTGAGCTGATAAAGCTACATATAGTTAAACGTAGTTATAAATTTGGCCTTAAATCCCTTTGACAGTGTGATTTAATCTCCTGCATCATGTAAGTGCTTTTAAAATGTTTACATCTTCTCCTTTATAATGTTATTTGTACTTTTGATGTTTAACTGTGCATTACAGAAGTTGTCATTGTGAACTTTCATTTTTACGGCATGTAAAGGTATGGCACATTCCCAATCTCTATGTTATTTATGTTTTAACTTTAAACTTTTTGTTCCTTTTACTGGGAATACATTTAAACTGGGAATTTGTGCATTGACTTATTATAGCCAATTGTAAATCTACGAGGACTTCGTGAGGCAAGCAAATATCCAGACTCAACAGTATTTCTATGCATGGGAGTAAAGAGCCTTTGCTAACAAAAGAGAAGTGGGCTACACTATTATTCTTTGATTAAACAGTGAATAGCTAGTTACAAAATACAGTGCAGCTCTTCTCTACTGATTCATAGTTCTCAAATAGCCACAGGGGAATTGCTAATTACACTGTATTTGTAACATTACCTCTACAGTAGTACCACCGTAATTCATTTTGGGGCACCAACAATACCCTAATTAGTAAATGTGAAGCTTTCTTTGGCCCTTGGTAAGGACCACAGTTATAGTTTAAGCAGTTACGGTAACAGCTTTCATCCATTCTCTTCCCATTCTTCTGGCTTGACATAGTTGTATACAATGTGTTGCAATTAAAAACAAGCCAAACTTTATTCTGAAATGTACTAAGACTGGTGTATATTACATGAGAGAGGTACTTTTTCCCTCTGATTAAAGGTGGTAAGACTTCAACTGGGAGAGGAGGTAAAGAACTGGATCCAATTTTGCATTTCAAGAAATACAAAGGGAGTCTAGAAGAGACTGACAGGAACAATCAGGAAACATAATTTCTGGGGGAAAAAATGCAGGAATGGGATTTGAGTCCAGAAAAGGTAGGATTGTGAGGAGAAGAGTTAAGTCATTTAGAATGTAAAGCAGTAGAAAGTTATGAATGTTGAATTGCTTCCCTGGGCTAACAGAGAAGGTAGAAAAATTGAATTCATTTTCTACAAAGATTTTGCTAGATATCAGCAAAAATCTTCCTACCTATTTGGGTACTGAGCCACACTGAAACTGAGAAATGTTATTCATTGGTGATAAACAGAATGAGTTAGACTAATGTATGTCTACGTACAGCACTCGATCCTACTTCATTGCTGAGAGAGGGAAGAGAGTTCTGTTGAGGTCCCTTCTAGCCCTTCAGTTGTTTGATTTAAAGAACAAAAACTTCTCTTTACGTACCTTCGATGGGAAGCATAATTTCCAGTAATATGCCCAGAGCCATCACACCCAGGGGTGGGACACCTAGAATAATAATGGAAGAGATATAGAGCGGTGTTACTGACAGGAAAGATATAGCTGCCCATTAAAAAACATTTACTGGCTCAGTCCTTGTTTCCACAGGTGCCAGCCCTGGGGACCTCTAGGCATTGCTAAACCTGAGCTTAATTCCACGCTGGGGACAAATATACTTTTTTAATTCATAAACTGTTTTTGTCTGCTACTCCTCACCTGCCCACTCAAATGCTTTCTGGATATCTCTAGTATCAGCAGATTAGTGGAGATTTCCAGCAGCAGCCTGACATCCTCACACCACCAGGAATGAGTAGGGTTGACAGCAAATGGAATATCCCCATGATGTATGCTTAGGTAATAGCTAACACTACAGCGAGCTGTTTTGTTTTCCATCTGGGCTATTGCTTTAATCCCACTGCACAGTGTCATGAGGTCGCACCACCTCTCCATGAAGCGAAGGAAATGCTTAAGGAAAAGGAAATGTGTAGAACGGGAAGTAATGCTGGCCCCTTGCAGAGAAATGGTAACCCACCCAAACACTCCCAAACACCAAGCTACAGCATCAGTCAGAGAAGACACTGATACAGCAGTCAGTGGAATTTCTAGTAGTTGAATGACATTAGAGTCATCAAAGAAAATGGGTAGTTTTTTCTACATTGCAAAGATGATTGCGATCACCACAGAATAAGCTAAATTATAATGCTAAGTACAATCATTAGCTGGTATTTGAACTGCTACACTAAATCACAGGAAAGACAAAGGAAGAATTAATTTATATTCTTTTTACTGAATAGACGAATGCTACACGAGTTCCAAAAAGTCGCTTTTCTTGAGCCTGAGTTTTGAATTTTAGCCATGCTTTAAAGCTTCATTTGAAGAAAGCATTCAAATTCTAAAAAGCATGCGTGCAAATTCAGATGTTGCATTCTGAAACATCAGATTTCCATAACATTGAATTTTTTCACTGGTTGAATCCAGAGTTCATGCAGATTTTGGCTTTCACCCTTTAGTTACAAGAATGCTTTCCTCAGAGTTGGTCCATACTGGTAAATTTTTGTTTCACAAAGGTTCCTGCAGAGACTTGAAAGTTTCTTAAAATCAGGAATTAAGCAACCCAGAATTTAGTGCAATGGGGCTGTCATGTTCCATTAAGCTGAATTTTAGCTCTTTAAAGCCAGTAAGCATTACCTACTTCTGAGGAGCTCAGCAGGGCCAAGCTTCAATCATGATTAATGCAATCTTGAAAGAGATTTGAAACTGGAATTTGTTAAATGAAGTTCTCATATGGTCTTCATCTGGACCAGTTCAGTTATTCATTAGAAAACATTAAAATATGGAAGCACTTCCAGGATTTAAGTTGGTAAAACCTCTGGGGTTCACTATGTGACTGAAGTTTCTCTTCTGTGTAACAAACAGTCTGTGTGCTTCGGACAAGACTTCTAAACAACATCCTTAAAGACAATTCTCCTTTTCTCTTGCTTTATGTCTTTGCACAGGACCAAGTATAAGACCATGATCTTGACTAAAAGTATAAGTATTACTGTCATTCTTAATATCTTAAAGACCAGTTTAGAGGTTGACATCACACATTAATCTTTCCGCTTGTAAAAAGATAAAACCCCTAGTTTTTGCATAGTTTCTTCTGACACAAATTAGGTAAAAATATGGCCCTTGGTGAAGAAGTCTGTATGGCCCTTACCATTTATTCTTTGCTGTGGTTGCACATGGCTAGCACAAACTTTGGCTATTTCTTTAAGTTAAAAAATAAATGGTTAGGGCATCTTATATAAAGGGTCTTATATTTTAAATACTTTGTATCTAAATATTTAGATGTTCTCACTAGTTATTTTTATTTTTAGACAAATGTTTTGAGATCTGAAGAGAGACAAGCTATTGCTTCATGTGGTTTTTTTAAATGCTAGGTATCTTCAGTGATCTACAATGCTTATTTCCTATCAAGACCAGCTGCATCACTGAAGCACGACTGAAGCCTCTAAAGATGTTGAATCAAAAGATATGGGAATAAGTATTAATTAAAGGAACTGACTAAACTTTGGCTCTAAGTGTCCATGGCATTTAAATGAATAAAGGCAAACAAGGAGCCATGAGATTGTTCCTCTGCAGTCTGTCTGACGTACTACAAGGATTCCATCTTTATGAACCCATGCTATTTGAAGCCACCATTTTCCTCTACAGACTTCTCAACCTTCTTGAGAATAAGCTATTATCAAAACTGAACAATGTTTTTTCTCATCTTTTCCAAGACTTTTGCTACAGGCAGGCAGGATTAATAGTGTCTTAACAGACAGGATTTATAAGATGCACCAGTATATCCAATCCATCAGTCTTAAAATTAGACCATTACACCTCAACCATTTGGACAGTATTACACAATTTAAAAACTACCTTATTTCTGTGTCATTTAAAAGAACCTTAAGCAACTGAAGCTAAAGAAGAAATCATCCTGCTGTAAATTGAACTGAGTATCTTCACAAAGGGCTCTGTACAGTTCACATCAGTTTAAAATCATACTTTTGATTAAACCAGAAGAGATTTTTTATGTAGGCAAGGATTTTAGAAAGACCTTTCAGATTTTGATTTTGGCACTATATTTGTTTTCAAGTCTCATAAGCTTATATTAACCTAAATCTAACAGATGAAATGAGAGTTTAGTGCAGTTGATAAGAACATTTTAAAACCCTGGAACTTTTCTATTTACTGCTGTTTCCATTCTGTGGGTGACCATTGTGAAATACAGGATGCAGATATACAGCAGTCTGTTTCAACTATAAAGTTATTACAGTATTTATTTGCTATCCTAAGCAGATTAGATAAGGAGACAACTATAACTCCTTGTACCACTGGAATTGTGAGTCTGTATTTTTGGAATGTCTGATCATACATAAGACTTGCATATACACTACTACTTTACTATCAGCTACTACCTATATATAATGACTTAACCAATCATATGTACATGAAGCAATGCCAGAAAAATCTATGAACAGGTGCTTATAAGAGGCAAGTGATGTGAAATCCTTTGAAAATGAATATCAGAGTAAGTGGAAAAAGAGATATACACTTTCCTCTTACTTAAAGTGAACGTAATTTGACAGGATCAGAAGCTTATTTGTAGACTCTACATAATAGCTTATTGCAGCAAAAGAAATACTTTAGCACCATAAAAAGTGAGGTGACAAAAGGAACTCACCCTGTAAAGAGTGAAGTTCAGAACTAGCACTTTACCACAAATTCAGGGCATCCAGTAAAAGAAACCTTGTCAGTGAAGGAGAATGTCCCATTCATTTCACGGAACATTCCAGAGAAGTTTTTTTGGGAACATAAGCATAAGCAGAAAGCAGGACAGGGCAGCAGAACAGCAACTGCTGTGGCAGGTGGATTCAGTATTGGGCTTAGA